AGTATCTCACATTCTCACATTATGGAAGGAACTTCTCGAACACTTCCTTACACCATAAGATTCGTTGGTCTTCTTGGCAGTCATTCTCTTGGTAGAAATCCAAAGTTTATGGCTACTGCAGTAGATTTAGGAAGAGAATTGATAAGGCGAAGAATTAGTCTTGCTTATGGAGGAGGCAACGTTGGCCTACAAGGAGCTGTTGCTTCAATAGTCTTTACCAATGGTGGTCTCGTTAGAGGTTTCATTCCTGGGTACATAGCAACACGACGGGTCTATGGACCTACGTACGGTGTAGAGCACACAGTTTCCTGTAATTACTACAAATATTTTGAGATGAATCATGCCGTGGAAGCTTTCATTGTTCTTCCCGGAGGAGTTGACACTATGGAAGGTTTGTTCAGTTTGATCTCGTGGGCTTCTGAAGGGTTACACAATATACCCATTGGTCTCATGAACATTGACGGTAATTTCAATAACCTAATCAAATTTCTAGATGATGCGGTGAGGCAGAACTTCGTGTATTTGAGTCAGAGGAAACTTTTCATTTCTTCTTTCTTTGTTGATGAGCTTTTAGAGAAACTAGAGTTTGCTAAAGCTTTCCCGGGACCTGGGGTTAGTTATGAGTTTCTAAATCCTGGAAGACTAGACTTAGAATTGCATCTGTAACTTTCCTCTTGTAATCCAAGTTGTATCTTGTGTTGCAATGATATTATCCATAAATCTTCTCCTAGGCTGTATGGCTAGTGCGAGCTACATTTTCTTCATTCTTCAGTCTTTCACTGTTGGTGTGCCACGTCGTGCTCTTTCATGTTAATAGCTAATACAAATGAGTCCATTTCAAAGTAAGGAGTAGTGATTCTTGATCGTCAATTTGTTCATGTTTCCTAACAGAGAATAGTTAGTATCCTAACCGTAAGTCAATCTTAGAGAACACAATGGATCCTCTAAGATGATCAAATAAGTCATGATACAAAGTAAAGAATAAGGATTTGTTTAATTGACGATAGTTCATACAGAGTCTCGTCGATCCTTCTGTATTCGCGTATGAACAAAGTAGTTATTCAAAGAGAAAACACTTGATCAAATGATTCTTTATTAAGGAATCCTTGAGTTTTCAATCTCAACGGAGGTTTATTCAACATGGAATTACATAGATATTAGATAGTGCAAATCCCGGATCAGTACATGGATAATTTTATAAATTATCAAATAAGGAAATATATTAATGACGACACTAGAGTTTTCTTCAACACGGTCTTTCATTGCATACACACATGCATGATTTTGTTTGCGGGTTACTTCCTCCTGGTGCAAGTCGGGCTGAGGTAGACTGATTTTGAACAGGGCCATCGGCATTGGTCTTCCAAGGGTTTGTAGGACATTGAAACTTGAATAAGCATTGGAGTGACCTTCAATATCTTGGTGGATGTTTTGATTGTCTGGTTCTTTTCGGACAACAAGAGTGAAATTCGATTTTTCAATATGAACCGTTGTGTGTCCATTGTTTTGCACTTGGTTATCTTGTCCGCACGCAGTTTCTTGACTCATTCTACAAATAGTTGGAATTTCTTTATTAGGATTCCTTATTTGCATAGGTGTGTTGATAACATATATCACGAGGGTATATAACAGTTGCGACGATTGAAAACAGTCAAGAGAGATTGGAAGAAACGATAGGGTTTATTAATTCTGAACGTTTTCGTTTGCGCCAACGATTGGTTCGCGTTGAGGCCACATGAGGATCTTTGACACCGGCTTCACAAATGTTGTTCAACATATATCAACACGAATCGTTCTTCAGGTTCCTCTCACTTCCGTGCGACTTTTCCGGTACAGATCAACTTCGTCATTCACGATGCGATGCGTACGTTGATAACGTATCAGAGGTTTATACATTTTTTTATTCTTTCGTTTCTTCACCGAATACGAAAATTCGACTTGAGTCTATGCTCGATATAATTTCAGTACTAACAATTGTTATCAAATGAGAGTTTAACACAGTCAATATTTACCAAGTAAATTCTTATACCTTTCCTGGAGCAGAGGGATGTGAGAGTCGTGGATGTGATTGACATTTTATTTTATTATTTTTTTAAAAATCAAATTTCGATCCGAAGATCAGGTTTAAAACCATTTGCTCTGATACCAAATTGTAACACCCTAATCCGTCCAGGTCTGCAGCCCCATTTGGACTAAAGTATTTAACATGGTAATCGTAAAATTTAAAACTTTTCAAACACACTTTATTAATCCCAATAATATTTTTCATAACATATACAGTACGGAGTATTTAACAAAATTGCGGAAGCGAATTTAATATTGACATATCATAAATTATTTCAAAACTTGTCACATCTGACAATCTCGCCCCATCTGCCGCCAGGATCACATTAATCTTTCTGTTTACCTGCGTGTAGCAAATAAAACACACTACACGCTCAGCGGTGAAGCTGAGTAAGCATATCTAAAACGTCGAACATCCACATAAATTGAATCTCAATTCATAATCAACCATTTGATATCATGCACACAATATATGGTTCAAACATTCAAAATATTTTCAATATTTTATTCCAAGTCATTTGATATTCAATATATATCAATAATGCTCTTAAATGATTCTTAA